ATTCGTACATTTGCATGTTAACAATTCTCTCGCTATTTTAAGGACTTGTCAAAATTAATATTATTTAAGAACAAAAATACACAGAATGTTATTTTAGTACTCATTTAACGGAATAATTAACATTGATCAGAATTTTAAACGTAAAACTAAATAACTTTAAATAATTAAAATATTAATTCTCTTAATTGTTGCAGAAATATTTATATTCATTCAATTCATTATCAATATTGAAAGTTACATTATTATCATTACAACTATAAAGTTATTTTTGAGAAAAAGAAATTCGTGCGTCGTGTGCGCGATAATTTTATTGTTTATTATGAAGTAACTGATACGAGCATAAAGATTTGTTTTGTTTTAATTTTAATAATTTATAAAATTATTCCAATTTGACATCTTTCGTTAGAACTGTTTAAAAAATAAACAAAGACGTTTACATCGTTAACACATGTTACGGCTATTTATAAAATATAGTACATATAGAAATTATTATAAAACAAACCTGTAGAATATTCAAATATATTTTATTGAAACAATTAATTAATATAAGCGATTTACATGTTATTACATAACATAGACTTTTAATGGTTATTTGAATCAATTTTTACATTGAGAAAGAAATTTATTAAATTTTAATAAATATTCTTATGAATAGTTCTAGCGGAATATTTACTAGATGTAAATACATTTTTATTAGATACAAGAATTGTTAGTTCGATTTAACTATTATTTTTTTCATTTATCTAAATATTTATTTACCGTAAATAATTATACAATCCAAGCGGTAGCTATCGATTGAGCGTATATAGAACTTAATCAGTTTAGCCGTTACCGAGACCCGATAGTCTCAGTCTGCCGCAATTCGCCGGTTCGTGCATGGTAGAAGGATTACATGGGCTGTGTTCTAAAATTGAAAATGCCAGTACTGAAAATCTGTAGTACACGTAACGTAAACTGTAGTATTTTCAGTGCTGGCAGTAAATTTGAAACACAGTCATGGTGTGTGCAGTTGATACTGTTTCTCTCTCTAAAATCTGCGCTCTCTGTCTAGCGGCTGTTCACGGTTACCCAGTGTTACCAACAGTTGAGAGCAAAATTATTTAGCGTTGGCACATTGGTACGTTTCGTCTACTGTCTTTGTTTCACGCACTTTCTCGAGCATCTGACTCTCTTTTTATCCCTGCATCCTTTTAGGGTTAGATTAGGTCATCACGGAAAGCGCTGAAAGAAAGAATATTTGAACGAATACCTCATGAAGTGCTGCAATATAGTAAAAACTCGCACTTATATAAGAGTTCAAGAGATAAACAAATGGGCATATGCGATAAACAATGCGGAAAAAAAGAGAAAAAAAATTGAAAAAATCACTTCTGCAGCAGTTATAAAATTATAGATCTTCCATTACATATGTAACGGAAGCAATTTTCTTTTTTTTTAACAGTGTATCGATATGATGTGTACGATCGGAGGAAATTATAAATTTCAATCCGGAAGACATCAATGATGTCTATTGTACAATCTCTTGTACTTTTATTTTGTAATATTATAATAAATATTTAATAAATGTTTCTTATATTTTTGTATTTTAAATACGAATTCTCTTTATTATTCATCGCAGCAAAATGAATAAAAAATTAATACATGTTGATTCCAAAATACTTTATTCAGATATTTAACTCATCGGAGTCATCGGATGCTTAATGTCTATTTTTTCATAAATTTTTCTAAAGAACGTCTAGAAAAATAATAAATCATATTTTTTCAATTTAATAAATACATTTAAAAAAGGTTATAATAAGAATGAAGCACAAATAAAACAATCATATTATTTAAGAAAGTCGAAACTTTGTAGCAATAAAGAGTAATATATTATAGATATAGGAATACATTATTGCACTTCTAATTAATAATTTGTTATTCTTAACACTTCTTGATACATATATATTTTCTACGAAAACAAATTTAAACTAATATTTTGTATGATATAATTTGTGATTATAATATTTGATGTAAAATTTTCAAAACGTAACATATATCCGAGAAAAAAATGTTTCATATATAAATATATATAATTATACATGAAATATCTATATATGTTCATACATTCTTCTTTCTTTTGTAAATATACCATTTAGTATAAGAAAATTAATAATAATAATGAAACATATAAATAACAATTAAAAGAATACTTTTCGCATTGCTTCTTTAAAAAAAAAGTTTGGAGAAATTTTAAAGTATTCATATACAGGGTGTTTCCAAATTAAATGACAAAACTTCGGGAGCGTGTAGAGGAGTAAAAAACTAAGAAAAAAAGTCCTATAGACATATGCTCGTTTTTGCTCCGTTTCAGAGAAATCGAAAAAAAAT